GGGTAATAATCTAATTGGTCAATGGTGGGTGTCTTCGGAGCTTTCCTTGTCCGACCTCAGGATTATCCGGTTCCTGCTGCGGGTACAGGCCAGAGCAGGGACTCCAAAGAGGAACCCAGAAACACTAACTGGGAAAAATATACGAAACCATTACATTTCAACCTACCCGGGTTAGAGAGCGACCACAAAACAGGCAGCTGTATGGCCTGAAAGCATAAAGTTTATAGGCTAACGGATATAGTGACCTTTAACTATAGCTGTCCCGAGACCCAAACGAAAGGAAAGGGGAAAACAGTGTGGTGGTCTCGGGAACTCTCATAAATTCGGAAAGACACGCGCAGGCTATTTAATAAGGCCAAGTGCACGGGATGCTGGGCAGAGTATGCGGCTAGTCTAACGAAATACAGCAAAGAGATGAGAAAGGCGTTCCAGCAATGGGTTGTGCACTGGGCTTGGGACCCGCCACGTAAAAACCACTTCCAGTGAAGAAGCAAGGCTAAGCCTCGGATGAGAACCCCCCCTCCCCCCCTATGATGACGACCACGGCAAACGTTTAAAATACTACGATTTGAGGGCATGCACCTCGAATGTCCGGACCCTTAATGGGGAAGGTGCCTCTGCCCGGGTGGTTGATGTCCTCGTAAGCACAAAACCTGACATCACCGCCATCCAAGAAATGCGTTGGACGGGGCAAGGCAAGCAATGTCTGGGGCCTTGCGACGTCTACTACAGTTGCCACGTAAAGGAGCGCAAATTCGGTGTTGGATTTGTGGTGGGAGGGAGACTCCGTCGCCGAGTACTGTCGTTCACCCCGGTGGACGAGCGTCTAGCCACAATCCGCATCAAAGCGAGATTCATCAACATCTCGCCCATCTGCGCCCATGCCCCGACGGAAGAGAAGGATGAGGCATCCAAGGATCTCTTCTATGAGCGCTTGGAGCGCACATACGAGCGCTGCCCCCGTCACGCTCCCAGTGTTTTAAACATACGCACACTCCGAGGCCCAAAAATCGACTCGGACCACTATCTTGTTGCAGCGAAGATACGCATCCGCCTCTGTGCAGCAAAAAATGTGCGTCCAAATATGCAAGGAAAGCTTAACGTCGAAAAGCTGCAATCACAACAGACAGCCAGCGCTTTCGCTACTCGACTCTCACACCTTCTCTCAGAGATCACTCTTCAACAAACCGACATATGCGAGCAGTGGAACCACTTTCCCGCTCATTAGGTACCGCCGCCGAAGAAGTAGTCGGATTTCCCGAACAACAACTGGTACGATGAGGAGTGTCAGGAAGCTGCAGAGAAAAAAGATGCCGCCTACAGGGCCACGCTGCGATCGGGCGCAACGCGGGCTATGTGGGACCGCTATAGGGATCTGAAGAGGGAAGCGAGACGTATTTGCCGCAATAAAAATTGAGAGGCCGAAATACGTGAGTGCGAAGAGCTTGAAATGCTGGCCGACAGGAAGAATACCCGAAAATTTTACCAGAGAGTTAGGCGACTTACGGAAGGTTTAAAGACCGGGGCGTACTCCTATAAGAACAATAATGGCGACCTAGTAACTGATGTCCAGAGCGTACTTAAATTATGGAGGGAACACTTTTCCGCCGTACTAAATGGTAGCCGCACGGAAAGTTGTGGAGAAGAAGAATCCGCAGTCGATGATGACGGAGTCGACGTTCCACCGCCTGACTATGACGAGGTACGTATAGCAATAACGCGGCTGAAAAACAACAAAGCCGCTGGAGCTGACAGCCTGCCAGCTGAGCTATTCAAGTACGGCGGCGAGGAGTTGATAAGGTGCATGCATCAACTCTTATGCAGAATATGGCCAGATGAACGCATGCCCGACGACTGGAATTTAAGTGTGCTCTGCGCAATCCACAAGAAAGGTGACCCCGCCATTCACGCCAACTACCGCGGGATCAGCCTTCTAAGCATAGGTTACAAGGTCTTATCGAGCGTATTGTGCGAAAGACTGAAGCCCACCGTCAATGAACTGATTGGGCCTTATCAGTGTGGCTTTAGACCTGGCAAATCCACCATAGACCAGGTATTCACAATACGCCAACTCTTGGAAAAGACCCGCGAGAAAAGGATCGACACACCTATTCGTCGACTTTAAAGCCGCTTTTGACAGCACTAAAAGTAGTTGCCTATACGCCGCTATGTCTGAACTTGGCATCCCCTCAAAACTCATATGGCTGTGTAAATTGACGTTGAGCAATACCACCAGCTCCGTCCGAATTGGGAAAGACC